GCACTTGTGGTTCTTATTCCACTTTGATGCATGTGGGAAAAAAGGGGTGATGGCTCCAAGGCCAAAATACGAGGATCTGTGCAGGTCTTTGAAAGCCGCGGGAAAGAAGGACAAGTGTCGGAAGAAATCGAGGGCCGAAAAGAAGCAGTCGAAAGAGCATCGCAGAAGCGGCGCCGGCCCCTCTGCGAAAACGGAGCACAAGCGCAGCYGCAAATCYGGATCRAAAGTTACAGTCCCTTCGAGTGCACGGGARATTTCAACGCTGAAAGAACGTAACGAGTCGCCCYCCTCGACCCCCGTCCGGGGAAAGCGMGGAARSGGCGCCGAGAACCGTCCGCCAAGGGCCCCGGAAAAAAAATCGCGGGATGATAGAAGCGCGACTACGCACCGCAGAACAAAGAAGAGAATATCCTACAAAGACGACAGAACAGTAGAGACAATCGATCTTAGAGGGTCTGACGACAGGCACAGCGGATCCCAAGTGGAAGAAGAGGAGGAACACGACCGTTCCGCGCCAGAGAGGTCAGATGGTGCGGAGGACGAGGAGCCAGGAAATGAGGGAGACGACAGCGATTCTTCCCGCAGACAATTGCAAGACACCGATGAGGACGACGACAGCGACGACAAGTCGGCCAGCGAGAGAACCAGCGAAGACCAGAGCGCCGCTTCGAAAAGAGGTGGTTCGCCATTTCCTTCGAGGATGCTGCACAGAGAAGGAGAACGGCAGGCACGCAACGGCAGCGACATCGAGGAGCGTGTCGGTGACAGACAAATCGTACAGCACGTCAGCGCCGCCGGAAAAGGTAAAAAACCCCCGCGTTGCACTGACTCCCCTCCCACTCCGATCACATAATCCCGTGCCCCCACGCGGTGCACGCCTTTACGCACGGAGAAGTGTCTTTGTAAATGCACAACTGATAGCCGAATCTTCAAATTTGCAAGTGTTGTATTCAAAACAAGGCGCTGAGTTGTTAACACTCTCCTGTGCGTTGTGTCTTCTGATTCCCACCGATCGCAACGTCACGAGCGAAAGTGCGCGCAAGCGGCGGAGCCGTGCAAGGACCGAAGGACGAGGGCGCCGCATTCGCGAAGAAAATGAAGGGCAAGCTGTTGCGTTCCGTTGCCAAAGCCTTTGCGTTCTCTGCGGCAAACGACGCAACTCTGTACCCGACAGAGGACGCGTTTTTCGCGGCGGTGCAAGCGACGGCGAAACTGGCAGGGGAGACAGTAGAGGAAGGGTTGCGGTCTCACATAGCAGAGTGCGGGATT